GGTCGCTCAGCGAGCTATGGAGAGGGCTATGCTCGGAGTTTCTCTGCGTGATAAACTCAGAAATGAGGATATCCGCAGTAAAACTAGAGTGACCGACATAGCCCAACGGATTAGTAAGCTGAAGTGGCAATGGGCCGGCCATATAGCTCGAAGAACCGACAACCGATGGGGAAGAAAGGTTCTCGAGTGGCAGCCTCGTATCGGCAGGCGATGTGTAGGGCGTCCCCCCACTAGATGGAGTGACGACCTGGTAAGATATGCAGGAAGTCGATGGATGCAGGTGGCTCAGGACCGTGCTTTGTGGCATTCTTTGGGGGAGGCCTATGTTCAGCAGTGGACTTGTGAAGGGCTGTAATGATGATGATGATGATGATATCAAAATGTACGAGTATCGAATATCATACTATACCATAAAATATTATATTCAAAAAGGTCGTGTTTGATTCCAGTTCGCATCACTGCAATTGTTCTTTGAAATTTTAAGTGCTTATTTACAAGGTACTCTGCGATAAATACATTATATCTCACTGGCGGTAAAGAGAAAAATTGTCACTAAAACTTTCATTTTTAGAAAATTAACACTATTGCGAACACATTGTAAGAATGTATGTAAGCTGCTTATTAACCCCTTAAATGTGCATGTCTCGTGTGTCCCATCTATACTATAGAGTACAGCCATTCACAAGTCCACTGCTGAAAATTGAACTTCCATAAATAATGCCATAAAACACATTCTTGACTTCCATTCACCATTCAACCATTCGCTTCCTGCATTTCGTACCATATCGTCACTGCATCTAGAAGGGTGCCGCTTTACACATCGCTTCCAGATACGAGGCTGAAAACGATTAACTGGCGACGGTGAACTGTAATAACCATTAATGCGCTCGAAAAACAGTGATTTTCAATAGCCGGTGTTAAATTATGAACATATACAATAGCCCTTGCCTAAGAGAATCGTCCCGTAGGTGTCGTAAGAGGCGACTATGGAAAAATCCAGTGAATCTATGCCAGAAAATATTATACCATGCTATAGATAGCGATATACCTATCTCCTTTAAGTAGTGTTGCCCAAAATCGGTCTTGGTCTTGCAGTCTTGGTCTTGTTCTTGCATTTTTGCAAGACTAAGACCAAGAACAAGACCGCCTAATTTAAGCAAGACCAAGACCAAGACTGACCGTGCAAGATTTGAGCAAGAACAAGACTAAGCCTGCGAGACTCTTGCGTCTTGCAGTTAGGAATGAGTGTCGTTTCAGGGAGTATAGGAGTTCGGGTATACGCTTAGGGAGTCTATGAGATGCAAAAAATATATAAAAAAATTTGGAAAATTGGACTTATGCGCATTACGAACAATACCATAAACATACATAGCGAATGAAAATATCCATTAAAAGAAAAAACAGTGCATCCCTAGTTTTGACCATCGGCACTTTGATAGTGCGCGGCGTCTTGTTGTCGGCATCAAAGGTCGAATACTGACCTGTCAAAGAAATTTTGCAGCTATTCGGAAGTACAAGGTCAAGATATACGCGCCGGCGGCTTCTATTGATATCGCATTCAATCGTCGCCGTAATACATATAACAATAATATATATATATATATATATATATATATATATATATATATATATATATATATATATATATATATATATATATATATATATATATATATATATATGTTACGGCCTACGGCTGCTCCCTTAAAGGTTCAAATCCTCTGGGGCCCATGAGCAGAAGACTTCCCGAGCAGACGTAGGTTGGGCCTCAATGTGGCCACGTGGAATTTCTCTAATTACACTAAACTATATGGGGGAGCGATCTATACTACGGCCAGTCGACCGGGAGGATATTAGACGGAGCTTACTTACCTATATCCAAGGTGACTGGTCCCTCCGGAGTCGGTCAGGTCGCATGTGGTTGTGTAGTGCAAGAGAAATAAGGTGATGAGATGTGTATCTGAGTGTGACTGATGGTGATTGACCCTAGACCTTGGCCGTCGGCAGCAGCCCAAGATTGTAGTGTTAAATATGGATTTACTGTTTTATTTCAGTCTGAAAATAGCAGTGACAACATCACGACAGCTACAGTTGATTGGATGGTTAAAAAATATCTTCCCTTCTCATTTTTCGATGACGAAGCTACAAGTATATTTTCGATCAATTTGCCCAAATATGGTGTTTCCTAAAAGGTCCACACTTAGAAGGAAGGTCAAAGAACGGTTTGAAGAGCTTCAATTGAATCTTAAGAAACGACTACAACAATTTTCATCTAAAATGTCATTCACCATTGATGGATGGACGTCAATTGCTGGTATGAGTTACTACGGGATCACTATTCGTTATATAGACAACGAATGGAAGTATCGATCTGTAGTCCTTGATTTTGTACCATCACGCGGTCGACATACTGGGGAAGATATTGCAACGATTTTCCACGAATCTTTATTGGAATATGACACAATTGATAAAATACAGGGTTAACGGTCGACAACGCAACTGCAAATACCAAATTTATGCATGAATTGGACAAACAGCTGCCACACTTTGATTCAGACAATCAACATTTCCGGTGCTTTGCTCACATTTTGAACCTTGGTGTACAAGATTTATTAAAGACCTTAGCATTACACAGTGCAACTGACAATAAGGGACAAGAACAGCAGTATGAAGACAATGAAGACGAAACTGAGGAAGATGAAGAATATGCGCCAAATATTGCTGACTCACGTACAGCTATAACAAAATTACGCAGTATTTCCAGTAAAATAAAAAGAAGTGAGATATTGAAGAGGAAGTTTCAGTCTGCTTGTGAAGCAGCTGGCGTGCCATCAAATCTGAACCCCATACTCGACTGTCCAACGAGATGGAATTCCACACATGATATGATTGCATTTGGTTTAAAAGTGAGAACTGGCATTAATATATTGTGCACTTCTGTCACCGAATTGAATGATTTTCAAATCACAGATAGTGAATGGCAAATACTCGAAAAAATAGATAAGTTTCTAATAAACTTTAAGCTTCTATCAACGAAACTTGGTGGAGAAAAATATGTTACATTACCGCTAGTCATTGTATCATTCAATCTCTTGCTAGATAAAATTGAATCCATGGTAAAACAATTAGATGAGAAACCTAATCGATCCGAAGTGGATGAAAGACTTTCTGGGTTTTCAAGCAGCTCGAGACAAAATACTTAAACATTATAAAAGGAGCAACTGGATTTATTGTACCACTTTAATTTTAGACCCAAGGCATAAAACTCAGACTTTTGACATGACATTATGGGGGAAGCAAATTAAAACAGAAAGCCTGCGCAAATTTAATGAACTTTATAAAGAATATAAAAGTCTAAACTCAGTGAATACATCTCTAGAATCACCAAGAAATGAAAAGAAAGTATGTGAATATGATGAAGATGAAGACGTAATAGACTTTGAGAAACTGTATGCATGTCCCTCGACGTCATCTGGATCTGGATCTTTTCATCAAGGCTTAGTTATAGACGAGTTGGAGGAGTACCTAAGTAAAACCAGAGCCGCCAGTTCGGAAGACATTTTAGAGTGGTGGAGGACGCATGAGACAGAATATCCGACTTTATAGAAGATGGCCCGTGATTTTCTTTCAATAACTGCAACTTCAGTACCTGCTGAGATTATTTTCCAAAGCATCATTAGTAATTAAAAAACATAGAAATAGGTTAAGTGATGAGTCAGCCAGATGGTTACTTTGTATTAATTCTTGGTCAAAAGAATTAATATAAAGTAACAGTAATGTCAAAGCTGTTGTGTACTGTTATGTAATTTAATTTGTATTGTATTTTATTTTTTTATTTAAATAAATAGTAAATTGTATAACTCTTTTATTCCATTTCATATAAGGGTCTATCAATCTCTTTCTAGACAGATAATGTTCTTTATAATACAGTCAAGTTAATGTCATTAATTTGTTTTTTATATGTTTTGACTAAGTTTTAGCACATGTAAGCTTATTAAATGTAAACGTTTATTAAGAAACAGACTAACTCCCGTGGCCGTGAGACATGGTAGACAGCTCAGTTGGTTAGAGCATCGGCACGGATCGCTTAGGTCGTGGGTTCAAACCCCACCCGGTATTAGTTGATTTTTCGAATTTCTCATTAAATGTTTAGACATTTATTAATTTGGTTGGTCTTTCTATGGCTATGTTAATTCAAGCTCAAAATGTGCCTACTGTGTTAAGTTGCTCTACGATCTAAAGTAACGTTTAATAAATAGCAATAGGCTTGCGAGACTTGCGAGACTCTTGCTGCAAGACCAAGACCAAGAACAAGACTGAGAGCGCAATACCAAGACCAAGAACAAGACCAGTTGTATTGGCGCAAGACCAAGACCAAGACTGGCTAAGTCTCGTCTTGTTCTTGCATTAGGACAACACTACCTTTAAGCCAGCCGTAAAACAATCAGATCGGTGACGGTTCGCAGTTTTACAGGTGCTAGGATGTCTAGTTTTCCGATCGTCAATCTGACTGCCAACCGCCACAATTGAGGCACACCGTACATACTAGATGAAGATATAACATCATATATTCTATCGGTATTAAAAAAAAATTATACACTTTTGTAATTAGATCAACTTAATCAACCACATCATGTTATCAATTTAATTTTCATATTCATATAAGCTAATGGTTTATATGAATATGAAAATAATGAACCAAGAAATTTTTAGATTTAAAATTCAAGGGATATAACGAATCACGAAGTTATACCTGAGCTAAATATTATTTTAAGCTACGCTAACGTATGTATATAGTGTTATGAAACATTTCACTTTCGACACAATGTAATTACAGACAAATATAACGTCATATTGGATAATGACAATTGATGTTTTACCATTGTTCTGTAACGAAATGTACACAACGTTACTATGAGTGACATTACAATTTAATAAAGTTAAATAGAATTATACTAGTTCCGATTTAGCAGTGCCAATGAACACGTAAAAGAGCCACCATGAAGTATATATTAATATTATCAATAATTTTTATTTTTAAGAACAGAAGTGTTGGTGCCAATGATATATTTCATTATGTTACAGAGAAAATGAGTAACTTTGTTGATACAATTATGTATACTTTTAGAAATATTGGTGATCGAGTATCCCAATTCTTTCAAAGTCATGTGAAAATTATAAAATCAACGAAAGGGCCAAAAAAGTATTATAAAAGTGAAAGAAGCGTGAGTACTCACAAACCCATTAAATTCACAACTAAAGAACATACTACAATCAGTGAAGTAATTCCTTCGCGTCACTTCAAAAAGAAATCTGAACCAACGTCGTACATGACAGCACCTCAACTTATAACTTTACATGGGAGGCGAGTGGAATCGCATATTGTATTAACTGAAGATGGATATTTTTTGACTTTACATCGAGTAATGACACCACATGTTCAAAGCAGTTCGGAGCTTAGAAATAAAACAGTACTGTTACATCATGGACTGCTTGGAAGTTCTGCTGATTGGGTTTTACTTGGACCCAAAAAATCTTTACCTTACCTTCTCTCTAACCTTGGCTACGACGTGTGGATGGCAAATGCAAGAGGTAACATTTATTCACGTGGACATGTTTCGAAAAATACCAATTCACCAGATTTTTGGAGGTTCTCTTGGCAAGAAATGGGACAGTATGATTTACCAGCAATTATTCATTATATTAGATTAGTAAAAAATACTAGCGACCCTATTAGTTACGTAGGACATTCTATGGGAGCTACAGCTCTTCTTGTCTTACTATCAACTGAACCCATTTTTAATTCTTACCTCAGTATTGGAATTTTGTTGGCACCACTTGCGTTTATGGTGAATAGCCAGGGGCCACTAAGAATGTTTAGCCCAGTTGCTTCTCGACCACCACCATTGCTTTTGCAAGTTATGGGCGAGGGAGAATTTATGCCTTCAAAGGAAACTCCTGATTGGATGGCATTTCGACATTGCACTGGTCCTCAAATATTTTGTAAAAATCCACTACTGTATCTTACTGGTGGAGTACTTCAAGAACAATTTTGGGATGAAGGCTTAAAGAATAGAGTACTGAATCATGTTCCAGCTGGTGGTTCAACTTACACTATTCTACACTATGCCCAAATTGCTAAAAATGGAAAATTTCATAAGTTTGGTGATATCATCGCCGAGTTTCCTCTAAATAGAATAAGTTTACCAATAGCATTAATAAGTTCTAGCGACGATTGGTTGGCTACTGTACCAGATGTTAAAAGACTTTATTTCGGTCTTTCAAACCCCATTGATCATCATGTTATTAGAAATAACAATTTAAGTCATACAGAATTCGTATGGGGACCAGGTGCTGATATTTTGGTGTTCAGAAAAGTTATTGATTATCTTCAAAATGGATTAAGTTTGAGCGTGATCAAGTTAAATGTAGTTTAATTATATGAAAAATAATATGTGTTATTTTATTTTTAAATTAATTGAATATAAAGGATTTACTATAGATCGGATTTATAATTAGTTTCAATTACAAATGTCGAACTAATTTGTATTGTTTTACAAATAAATAAATTTAAACGCCAAATAATTTCGCATTATTATAGAATATAACTTGACTCAACAACTAACTGGATTGGGTTCATGAGTGAAGAAGAAAAATCTTTTTATTGCTAATAACGTCTGATGAGAAAAGTTTTACTTAGTAGCATCTATTTCGAAGGCTTAAGTTGATTTCGTACTTACCTCAAAGATGAAAAATAATATAATGTTCAAACACCTATTCGTTACTCCTAATTACTTTTTTCTGAAAAAATACTCATTAAAATAATACATATATGTTAGGTTATCTTTAAAAATATATAAGTAAAAATGAAGAATTTTGTTGCAAACAATTTTTGGTACTTTTTTATAATATACACACATACACAAATTTTGTTTAACGGTCATATGTGAATGGGCTACATTAGATGTCTAAAACATCAATCGCTTAAAATGACATTTCCTGAAACATTGAGTGTTTGAACTTGTGCTTTATTTATTGCTAAGAAAAAAAATTCATTTGAAACTAAAGTTGTTGAAACTAATACCACGGAATCAAAACGATTCTACCAATTCACACTCTATTAGAATAATACTAACTAAAAGGTTTCTAAATATTTTATTTGCAAGTTTTATTCTTTGCATAATTCAGGCGGATTAAGATCCTACGACAAAATAAACCTGTTTTTAAAAGCAGTTTCTGCGGAGTGACTCCAGCAGATTCAATTTGACTGAGTTGATGATTTCACGCAATTTGCATATTATTTCAAGGTTTTTGAGAAATCATGCTGCTCATATAATTTTAAAAAAATATGCTGTTTAGGCGGATTAGTAAAAACGTAACGAATGTTGTTTGAAGTGAATTCCTTTTAATAAATAAACGGCATGATGAATTAGTGTAGGGTATTGGTGCCCGATCAAGCACGCATCCCCCATACCTACTAAGCTACAGATGTAGCGTCCGGATTGACAATTCATAACTTTTACTTGCTAGAGTCACGCCGCAGCTATATTAAGGTTGTAGTATGTCGGCGAATATGTCGGCTCGACAGAGACGGACCACGCTCTCGTTTCGTATGGTGAGAGTAAAAAAAAAGTAGACCCTTTTTACTAGACTTGAAACGAGGCATTCGATATTAGGCCTCAGAGGTGGCAATGCATCTGGATTTTGATTCTTAATAGAAGATAAATCCAGATGTCTATAGGCCACAGTATCCACTTACCATCAGGTATACTGTGTTCTTGTTTGTCACCCCCATTCTTTTAAAAAAACACTGTCCCGAATATCTCTTCATCGCTCCATTTATTTACATATTTGCTAATGTAAAGTAAGATCACAGTTATAGCCTATATCCCAAATGGCAGGCAAATAGTGAGAAGAGCAGTGTTGGGTCGCCTCACGGATGAAGTAACAACCTGGACAGGTAAACAGCAAGTAAATGGATGCAAATGGCTCAGGACCGTTCTTTATGGCATTTTATAAGGGAGGGCCTAAATCTAGTGGTGGACTTGTCATAGGCTGTAGTGATGATGATGATAATGATGATGATAGACAGAAAAAGTTTAAATAATAATTATTTAAAATATTAATTTTTTCTGCTCCTTGAAACAGACATTTTTTCCAAAGATGACGAAAAGATGCTATTCAGCTTTACGTATTCCATAGATTGAGATATACTTGCTAGTGTATTGGCGTCTTGGTAGTTCGGGGGCTGTACGCTTGCTTTAAGTTTTATTGCGAGCAACTCGAGTTCGATCCCCGATTTTCACTGAAATTTTTAACATATATTTTTTAATTTAATATGGAGTTTATATTTAATTCACGATATTTACAATATTAAAACATAGTATGAAATTCAATCCAACAAAATAAAACTAAAAATTCAAATAGTCATACAGTTCTACTCCCCGTGGTATCGTGCCAAGAATACTGGCTGCGTTTCCTCGCTGATTCGCTATACTTAGCCTATGAGCGAGAAAAGAACCAGCCCTCTTATTACCAGCAGCAAAGTCCTGTCGTGGATACAGTTTATTTAGGTACTTCATCGCAAGTGGACCCCACAGACCGATAGTCTCTACAGCAAATGACACAAATATGTAATCATCCCTCAAATACTCATATTTGAATTCGCCATAATTTGACGGATTCACCCCACATTGCTTGATTGGGACTATTATTGATAGTAAAGCGTGTAACCAGTGACTAGATCCCTTAGTCAAAACAGTTAGAAGGTGGATCTTGCTCACTGTGGAAATTGTGAAACAAATCTTTCTGCACATTCCGTACCAACGAAATATCCCACTTTGTTTGTTGGTTAACTGCCAGTGGAACATTTTCGCCGGGACAGAGCGTTAGCCATGTTTGCCTTGTCTTCTCAGCCAAAGCACAGGTGTGCTTAAATATTTAAAATTATATTATATAAGTCATTGACACTATGCATGTGAACAAGGAAAGCAGGTAATGCAACGCTCGAAAGATTTCTTACAACAATACCACCAAATTTTTTAGGTAAAGTTGCTTGATTCCAGGCTGCTGTATTGAAAGTTAAATTTAGAATTTTTCTAAAGCTAATTTAAATTTATTATCAATATCTTTTAAAATATCCGAACATTTCCAGACTGGAGTCGAGCACAGTAAGAGAAATGTGGGTGTTTAAGTTATACAATTTATCAACGTGGTTTAAAAACTGATCATATTTTGTTTTTAAAACTGGTTTAGTACTATCGAAAAATAACGCGGCACCGAACAGGAATACCAATTCTGCACTGACAGTTTTTATATGTTGTAAGCAACAATTGAGGGAAGACTTGCATTACTTTGGAGCCTGTAACATAATTCTTCTTTATTTAACCTTCTCCGTTCCAACTGAATAATCAGATTAGTGATTCGTATAGTCTTTGAATCTAGAATTGCCTTTCCCATAAATTCCATTGAAATTAATATTTTATAAAGATAGTTATTGAAGTCATAGTGGCTCAGGAGAAAAAGCGATTGTATTAAAACTTCATACGATGTTAACTTCTTTTAGAATCGTTATGATTTGAAACTCAATGACACGAAAAAGCAACAATAATAACTATACATCCATATAATTAATTTAGCCTGCGAGATAATGAGATAGAATATTATATTAAAATAGTCGTGTTTAGGTGTCTATTTTACGTACCACCTTGAGATTCGAATTGTTCGATAAAATGACTTTACCTATAAGATGAAGTAGATTGCGCCATCGAAGAACAATTTTCACTCGACAGAAAACTTACCTCAAAACACATCGGAGCAGCGCCGTGGGCTCTTACCTGCTGCAAAATCCTATCAGTATTTGGCCCTGCGAGACTCCTTTTAATCACCTCCAGAGTATTTTTTAAATCCGCGGTGACCGAACATAGGCATTAATGTTGAACGTTTACTTTTTTTATAGGATAGGGTGACAAGCGAGCACACAGTCCACCTGATAGTAAGTGGTTGCTGTGACTCGTAGACATCTACATCTGTCCTCAATAAAGAATTAAAATGCAGATGCGTTGTCACCCGTGAGGACTACGATGGAATGCCTCTTTTCCAGTAAAAAGGACACAGCCGTATTAAGCTGCTATTTTACGCTGGTATTCTGTGAGAGCGTGGTCCTACCCCGGTCGAGCCGACCCATTCGTGCTACAACTATACTAATAATATAGCTACAGCATGGCTCTACCACGACTTACGTTTACATTTAAGCTGCTTCATGTTCAACGTTTTTTAATTTTAGTTAATTTATCTAATTGTTTAAAAGTTATAAATTTATATTCATTTTGAATAACTGGTACAAATAAGCAGTTTGCCACCATATTACAAAATATCCTATTCAATAATTTATTAACACTTTTGAATTTAAGTAGAATGTCCCGAAATAAACAGTGACATGTGTAAAAATTTTGGTTGTTAGCATAAATACAATCTAAGCCCAAGTACAATTGCTATAAATCGTACCTATATTTAGAAAATAGTCTCAAAGATATTGGCTATTTATTCTGACACAAAATACTTTTTAAAAATACAATAGTAGAAAAGTTTAACGGCAAATAAATAAACACCTATGTTTATGAAAAACACAACCAATAATTTTTAATTACAGTGAAATTTATACATTGCCTTTTTAACGTTAATTAAACAAACAGTGTTATATTCAGTATAAAAACTACCTTTTACCTATCAATTATCGAAATTGAATAATGGACCATTTATAAAGTTTGCGTATCGTTGCACAATATTTGTAATAAAGCAAAATTTTGCAATGCAAACGTGTCAACCGTTAATTAAACAGTGCATTAAGCAGAAACAAATAACGAGACACATCCAGTGGTTAATATTTTCATATTTCCAAATTGCTTTGTCCAATGACTAAAATATTTTCGAACATTGAATAATTGATAGTCAACAGTGATGGCTTAAAAGTTTTTTTTTTTCTTACTTGGTACCGGGTACAATTCTCTAATGAGCCCTGTGTTTTGATCATCGCATACCGATTTTATTAGCAAATGTGAATAGCAAATTGGCAAATCCTGCGATGAGTAAAACTAAAATATTTTTTATAATATTATCGTGAATATGGTATTGTTATATTACTATAGTGGTGACGATGGATCTGTAGCAAAAGCCAGAGCCACTTAACAAAAGGTGGACTGCAGGTTATGAACGCATATGGAAGTAGTAGTTGGACATTTCCTTTTAATTGCATTAAGTTATTGGAACGAAGTTCTTTATCGGACACTACGAATTTGGTGGATAGGGGCTAGGCGAGAGTAAGTGTAAGATTTTTCCGTTACGACACCTTCTGACGTAGTATAGACTGCCTCGGCGGCTATAAGAAAATGAGATGGAATAATATCCATCTTCTTTGCACTTTCTCTTATCTTGTAAT